TCCCTCCATTAGATAGGAGGACTGCCCTGCTATGTGGGGTATTCAGTTGACCCAAAGTAGACGTCTCTGTTGTACACACCTGTAGACACAAGCCACCTAGACCCCCTTTAATGACAATGCAACAGAGAAGGCATAACCAGATAGCAGTAAGAAATCAGGTAAACAGTGCCCAAAACGCATATTGAAAATATTAATGTGTTCATTTGTTAACTGCATTTCTGAGAAAGAAGCAATGGAGCAGGTGACAGAGCAACCACTAGAATGCCACTTCCACTGGGACAATACATTTGATCCATGAACACCTGGGAAGCATGGAGTTTATGAAAGCATTGAGCAGTGCCTCGTGACTATTGAAATCACTGCTACCTCAGGCAGTGCTGCCAGATAAGATTAGTTAATGAAATGGATGGCTATCTGATCATTTATTTGGTTTTGGCAACGGTTCTGTGCGATGGTAAATGGCAATTAGATCTGTATTAATTATTTTTTAAATTAAAACAGTCCTTCTTTATTAGCAGTCTGTGGCATCCTGAAGTATTGAACAGTGGCACTGTATTGACTGAAGAAAGAAGCTAGAAAAATCCATATAGTAATCAAGGTAGAATTTTGTTCTGTTAATAACTGAGCTCTTTGGATTGATTTAGACTTTTCCGTCTCATGAAATTTTGTTAAGTATTGAAAATCATAAGGTAATATAGAAAGTAATGATGTTTTTCTAGGTATAAAAGTAAAGAGATGAAGATTCTATCTCTAGTTAGCCTGAAAAATTGTAGAAGCATGAAGCCTCCTTGTCCACAACTTGTAACAGTGAAAAATAGGGACAGTACAGTTATACCTACTTTACACCACTTTCACTATTTTTTGTGTTTCCCAGGGTACAAATGAGGATATCAGAACAGCGGGATTAAACCTTTTGGTCAAAGACAAAGGTAGTGACAGAGCAACAGGGAATTTCCTGACTTCCAGCTCCAAGTCTATTCCCCCACAATTGTCCCATTGCTTGCGAAATGTGAACTAAACATTGTTCCATGCGGAGGCTAAGAAGAAGATACAAGCTACACATGAATAAGACCTCCTTCAAATATTGCAGAATTTAAAAATAGACTTTTCACTGTGAGTTAGTACATAAAACTAGCTTCAAGTTGACTTTGAGTATCTTGGTGTGTCTTTTTCTAAAAGCTGTCATACTAAAATAATTTTCTTTCTTTCTCCTACTCTAACCTGTCTTGCAGTAGATGCCCTAATTTCAGAATTACTGCTTGATAAAGCAGGAGAATAAGATGACACTGGGAACTCCTAGTATCTAGTAAGCAACATGCCTGTAGCACGTGTTTCAACACTAAGTGAAATTAATGGCAATCTTCCCCACCGTGAGCCTCTCTCTCTTCTTCATGGTCGGGGAGTTAAGGAGGCATAGGGTGCCGTGTACTGCCAAAACCACCTGAGCCCTCACTTAGGTGTTCAGGGAGTGTCACAGAGCGGCACAGAAATATCCAAGAGGCTACACAAATTGCTGAGAAATTAAAGTTGCATGTGGTTGCCACTAAGATTTATTTAAAGATGTTTGTTAGACTACAAGGTAACCCAGCATCATTCAAATGTTTCTTTCCTCAAAATGCTCATAGTTTGAGTATGATTAATGATTTTTTTTAAGACAGCTGATTCTACAACTTTCTCTATAAGCAAAATATGCTCTGAAAAGGTATGTTGTACTAATGGGTATAAAACGAGCAAGAAACCGTATTTTATATGACATCACAGATTATCTGTCTATTCATGCAGCAACACAGGTAGATTCAACCCATGGCTAATCCTGCTGATACTCTTGTCTCTTCTTCATCAGTTTTACAAAGAACCAGGATTGCTCCCAACGGAGAAAAAAAATGAAGATAAACTGCCTTCCAGTCCCATTTGCAGCTTCAGAAATAACAGAATTTCCCCTGCAACATCATTTTGTGTGGAGGCATTACGAGTAAAATGAAAGCCTCGAAGGAAAGCACACATGTCTCAGGAGCTGTCAGTAACTCTGAGATACTTCTTATGTGGCACACTGTGTTTCAAAACACAAAAGATAATTTTATATTAAAAAACAGGAACAGCATCCAATTGCTTCTTCTGAACTTAAATAGGAAGGTTTGGCTTACAGTTTTAGAATTGTGTTACGGGATCCACCACACTTCTTTTTTGTAAAACTAAAAAATGAAATATTTTCCTTGTATTTTCATAGAAAAGAATGAGTTCCTGATTTCTAGGGCTGATAAGACAATCTAACAGATCTCTGTGAGACTTAGAAAGCATAAGCTTTACAAATTCCTTCTGGAGACAAGCAGATTAGCCAAAAGAAATGGAGCCAAAGAGTGCCCTTGGCTGAGACTGCAGCAATACAGAATAAGGCTCTGCAGGGCGGCTATGCAGAGTAGGTGAAACACGGCTTAGAAAATAAAGCATTGTTTCCTTTATATTATTCTTAATCTTCTCATGTCCTGTGTATATAGATGGCAAACTTATAACTGCAAATGTCGGCGGTAAGGTTGGCATAATTTAGTTAAAGAAACTGAAAAAAAAAAGATACTGAAAGGAGAGCCCTTACAATGTGCTCTTTGCCTGTAAATATTTCATCATGACATACGAGATTTTTAATGATGGCTAGTCCACCAAATCTTAATGTCACTAACAGGCAACTACTTCAAGTGGGAGCCTCATTTTACAAAGCATTTTGAAATGTATGTCTTTCACCTCATGTGCCCTGTTCATAAGCTCTACAGCACAAGCAATGAAATTATGTCTTAAGCATATTCAGGCCCACAATACATTCACAAATATGTCATGCCAATTTGTATAGTCTCCTGCAACCATACTTAAAAACAATCATAGATCTAGAGCCAAATTCATGCGGAAGAAGGAAATCTCAATATTCCACATATTTGTTTGCAGTTGAGAAAAGGATTGTTATTTGCAGGGAACAATTTAGACTTTGTTCCTGGCTTACTAGTAGGAAGAAAAGCATATTTCAATTACTGATCACCTAGAGAGTTTTTCAAAATAGAAATCAATAAACATTGTGAGCCAAACTTCAGATAGCTTTCGCCTTCTCTCAGCTAAAATTTTCCCAGTAATATCTACAGAGTATATTAAAGAATTTACTGAATGTATGTGCACTTTGAAAACACTGGGATTCAAAAAAATAGGTTTTTAATTGGAGTGTGCACTCTTATAGGCATTTGTAGCTGGAAGGGAGATTGTAAGTATGGGGTTAGTTAAGTACAATAGAAATATGGTGAAAAATGTGGGCAATAGATGACCGTTCAAGGTTCTCCTTAATTCCTTACAGTGGAGTTTTATAAACTATGCTTTGTAGATTTCCTATTCTGGTCTGCAATTTATTTATTTATTTTTAAATTAAGCAGATTCTGAATGTTTCGTGTTAGTATTTTCTGGAAATTTGCATGAGGATTGATTTTTATCAATGAATTATTAGCACATGCTTTTGCATCACTAATGTTTGACCTTGTGCTATTGGGGAGTTTTTTCCTTTAGGACCTTTAGGTTGTAATTTCATTTAGAGACAGTTGAAGGAGGTGGATGTGACTTCTCTCCAAATATAAGAAGAGATTTTGCCCAAGAGCCACCTCATAATTGTCCAAGAATACATGAGGTATTCCTCCTGTCTATATTTCTTTTCCCATGATATAGAGCAGAGTTACGTTTCACACTAACAAACAGGCTACCTCATTGAAAAGTCAGTCTCTGAAAGTGATACAGTCCATGCAAACTTGTTTCTCAGTCACTTAACATGATACCTATGCAATTTTAAATTTTAATGATATTTTAAAAATTACTCAGAAAACTGCCACAGATTTCTTGCACAGATTCTTCACAATACTTTTAAGTCAACATTTTTCTAAGTAATTTTACTGAGGTCACTGAAACTCAAAAGAACGGTGTGGACCAGTTTGCACGTCCAGGTTCAGCTGCTGACTTCAGGGACCTAAACTGGGACACAGCACCTTAACCCAATTATCTGGCCTCAGGAGGGTGCTTCAAAGCCACATAGGTGCCTGTAGGGTCAGAGAAGGGAGTCAGAAGCCTATGGACTTCACCAGTCTTCACCATGCAGCTGCCTGCAGCAGATGCTCACCGCAGAGCCCGTGTCTATAACCTCTGACTTTTCTGTTGTGGGAACATTTTACAAAATTTATAGTGGCAATTAATTACCATATAAGTAATTTCTAGAAAGGATTTTTCCCTGTCTGCTTCATCTGACTGTGGGGCTTCATGATCTTTCCTTTTGGAGTAGGCACATGATTTTTTGCCGCCACTACAGTTTTACAAATGCTCTTTCTAAGCCACAGCCTTTGATAAATGGTCCAATATCAGCCTCTAGCCATGGATTAAAACCGAGGCACATGCTTCCCATGGAACTGTGTTTAGAAAAGTGTGCTGTGACTAACAAGGAGCACGGTAAGCGGCACAGCACTGCACACACTTTACCACCACTCACTGCAGTTGCCTCCTCTTCAGGACACAGGCTCCCCGCGCAGCTCGACAGCCAGAGCACATCATTCCACAGCACCCTTCTTCATGTCAGCTTTGTGTGAACTGCAGTGCTATTTTGGCCCTGAAAGGGAAATACGTTAAATGCTTTGTGTTTTTTCCCTTTCTGCATGAAGTGTAGTGCGTATTTCCCATGCTTTGAGATTTTTCTCAGAAATTGAGTATTGAGAGTATGAAGTGAAGTCAAACATCCCTGCCTGGTGTTACTGACGTTTATTGAGAACTCAGATAAAAGCAGCATGCTGCCATGAAATGAGAGAGAGGGAGGGTTGTGGCTAAAAATCAGTGATGAAAAGACAGTTATGAAGAATTAAATTGCATGCTGACCAATGTCAAATATCATACAAGAAGTAAATTTTCTATCACAGAATAAACATGATTCAAAATTAATTTTTACTGAAAATTTTCAATTCAATGGCACTCAAGGTCTTCAGAATATTTTGGTTTCAATCCTTTTTCTTCCGACCGAAGCCTTTATCTAAGATGTTGGTGATCTTAAGGCAAGATTCGAAGAGTAGTATCATTTTTCTAGGAATGAGACTGATGAGACAAACACTGAGTTAGCTTATATTTTTTTTTTTAGAAAAATGTACTCTGTAAATAAAGAAATGATAAATTAATTATATGTGTTTAATACTTCTAACGTCTGGCAATAACACATTTGGTGCTCCCGTGTTACGAATGGGGGAAATGAATGACAGACCAAACCGTTTTGTGAAAGCCCAGCCAATGGTGGAGGCAGTCACTGGAAGCAGACAGTTCTAGTCCAGGCATTAATCCCAGTGTACCATCCCAGGAAACTTTCTGAAATTTCTATACCCAACTATAGCTTAAGACATATATTAGAGACAGAAGTGGCCGGAGAAACACTATTCACCTAGATTATTAAAAATTAAAACTACTGTTTCTTCATAATTGGGTACATATAACTGGGTTGACTGCAGGAATACTAACTAAAGGACTGTTTTTACTAAACTTTC